GTTCATGGGATCAATTACTTAACCAAAATCTTATCGGATTCGGATAGGATCTGGTATTATCCGAACCCAAACAAATTTGTAATGTACTTGTAAACGTAAATAAAGCTCTATTGTAATAAAACTCTAGTGATTATGTAATGAGAAGAAGATTCAAAATCAAAATGAGCCAAAAACACTTGTATTTATAACTAAAAGTGGTTCAAACGTAAAAGAAAAGAGAGAACATAAGTCTAAATAACTTTAGAAGAAAAATTAAAAATGAAATGTCTTATGAATTGAATAATGAAATTATGCCACAAAGGTAAGTATAAGATATTTATATGTTTGGTTTTCTTCGGATTTGATTTCGGTTATCGGATAAAATCCGGAACCGTACCAAACACCAAACTAATTTAATATGATAATCAATCGGTTATTTGACAAAAACCAAACCGACTATTTCGGATCGAATGCCAAAAAAAAAAATACAGAATCTAACAACAGTAATTATTAGTTTTGTAAACAATACATAATGTCAAAAAGAAAAGATAATCATGTAACTTAAGGAAAAGCTGTATAATAATTATTCAATTAGTTGATTTGTTGGCAAAATCTTTCATTTATGGGTTACAGGTACATATATTCAAAATCAACATGCAATCATGTTGAATCAATATATTGCAGTCAAGATTTAAGACATGTTACAAATTTATCAAAAGATTCAAAACCAACAAAGGATATACACTGACAGAGATGAGTCCTTAATTTGGAACTCGAGATATACCTTCGACACACTTTATTTCTTATGTTCCAAACAATTTATGTACACCAAAACTACAAAAACTAAAGCTAAATTCTTCGAGACATTTAATCACAAAGGTTTGACTTAAACCTCTCTTGTTTGTCTCTCCAGCCACATCAAGTCTCTGATCATCCTGCGATTTAAAGTGCAATAAAAGATTGCGGTTTTCAATCACTAGCCAAGCATCCATGGACGAGACTCAGAAATGAGTAGATGGGTGAATTCGGTAAAGTCTCGAGACTTCTTTCTCATAACACAGAAAGAGGGAGCATATCAGTGGATGAGGGCTTGTTCGTCTCTCTCTTGATCTTAACAACAACGGGAAAAAACAACGGTTAGATTCCATCGGGGTTAATGAGATAATGCTCCATTTTCGCATACTCAGACAAAAGAACAAGGAAGCATAAATCACGAGTACCTGTGCTTCTAGTATTGCTATTCTTTGTAATGATGCTTGTTCTATGCACACCCGGCGGTTTCGTTCTTCGTCAAGCAAACATGTCATCTTATACCTTAATTCTGCCATTTCTTGCGTAAGGT